AGGTAACTAATCCTTCTTATGCGGATTCATATTTTCTTGTTTGCATACTAAAATTCTAATAAATTAAAAAAGATAATACATATACTTACAAACAAAAGATATCAAAAAATAATAAATTTTAGATGCAAAGTAATAAGAAAAGTATAGAACAATTGAACATGGTTTAACAAATAATCATAGATAACTTAATATTACTTTTGTTGTTTCAATATTTTTGGTGCAGTGCCGGGAAAGCTTGACAAAAAAAGAGTTCGCAATTGCTTTCTGCTATCATATTTGACAGAATATTTTATGAGACAATGGACTTATAAGTCTGAAAAGACTAAAAAGAATATAAAAGATTAAGTAAAAACCAGTTTAAAGAGAAAGTAATAAAAGTAACGTGGGCCCTGTGATAATAATGATAATATATAAAGTAGGCAAAAAATATATTCACACGTAAATTACTATTCTTATTTCCAAATTATCTCTTTCGGTCCCATAATTTTCTGATTTATGAAAGATATACTTTTTTTTGATATACTAAATATTTTTAATAAAATTCATCAAATACAGATACATCTATTTAATACAGTATCAAAAAATTTTGGGACCCCCCTAAATATGGGGCCTCAAACAGTTGCTTGAGTGGATTTACCATTGAGCCGCCCCTGGCCCATTTTTTGATTCATTACTACAATTGAGTGTAACATGATAAAACCTTTCCAAAAGTTGAAAGAGTATAAATTTATCTACTACTAGTACCTACTCTAATTTTAGTTAACTTGAAAAGAGGAAGTACATCATACCTATTACAGCCGGTCAAATTAAGCCGACTCTGTAACTAATTTGAAAAGAATAACTAAAATGCTTGTGAACCAGAACCAATGTCATCTCTGGATTTCCCACTCTTCTTTGGTAACAAATTCTGGTGAATATTGGGCAAGACGCCTCCATCTGCAATGGTAACATCTCCTAGAAGTTTGCCCAAACTCCTCATCATTCCTTACTGCAAGTTGTATGTGTCTTGGCACTATCCTATTCTTCTTATTGTCTCTTGCTGCATTACCAGCAAGTTCCAGTACCTGCACTACTATTACCATCAAATCTTAACCATATTTAAAAAAAAAATGACGCTGAAATACAATGCTTTAAACCCATTTATATCTTCACAGTTTTGGTACTGTAAAACACAACATAGCTTGAACCCTGTCCACTTTCTAGTTCTAGAGTAGATACGAAAGAAAATTCATATCGTAGTAATGACTATCAGTGAACCACATTTCTAACATCAAGATAATTGGGTGAGCATTATGATCTCATGTCGACCTATTGTGTTTCAATGATTTCAAAATACAAAGAATTAAACGTAACTCCTTAATTTGCATGTCCGCATGCAGCCAATCGTAACCTTTTTCTTTATTCAGACTTGAAATAGATCGCTCTTTGTGAAAGTTGTAAGATAGAATAACTCTATATTATAGGTGAATATTGATTCACATGGATGAGATATATGGGAAATTACCTCAGCAGCTAAATATTCAAGAACAGCGGCGAGGTAGACAGGGGCACCAGCGCCAACACGTTCGGCATATTTGCCAGCTTTAAGAAAACGTGCAATTCTGCCAACAGGAAATTGGAGGCCAGCCTTCTGAGATCTTGATGTCGATTTTGACGACTTTGGCTTGCCTCTGCCTCCTTTGGTTGAGCCTACCGAACTCATTTCTTTTCTTTTTAGTATTAGTATAATGGAAATGAGAATTTCTTGAATGGGAAACTGGATTGCTACCACTTCCTTATATACGAATCGTGAAATATGGAGTTTTCAATTGTCATATTTTGCTTGATTTCATTGGTTTATAAAGGATGACATAGACCCCATAATATTGACTTTTGCTTAATTTTGTTATCCGTTAATAGTTAGCAACAAAAATACTACTGTATCACCCTTACAAGTCGCTTGGTTGGAAAGAAATTATCCCAAAATTAATTGTTTCGATATTAGTTATTCCAAAATTAATGATTCCACCTTTTCATGGAAATAAACAAACTTATAATTCCAAAATAACTAATCACTACATGAGCAATAGGTCTTACATGTAACGGGTCCTTTACCCACGACTCAAAATTTCCTTGCCAAGCTACATGAAACAGATTTCCAAAAGTCCACAGAAAAATTATTGTTAATTGACCGAAGTGAGAAGCAAAAATATTCTGATAAAGATGTTCCTCAGTAATATCATCATGACTCTCGAAGTCATGTGCGGTAGCAATACCAAACCAAATACGACGAGTGGTGGGGTCCTTCGCTAAACCTTGGAAATCGTAATGCCATAATGCTTTTCAAATCCTCCTACCCATTATCCTACTACAATAATTCTTGCTAAAAAGAATGCCCATGTTGTGGCAATTCAACCCAAAAGGTAATGGTTACTCCTACAGCACGTCCTTATATAATGCTCAAGGCTCTCGGCTAAGTAGCAGGAGCAACTTTTAATTTATTCTGAGCACGAGATTAATTATACTTTTCTCCAATCAAATATAAGATAAGCTCTTTTTAAATTTAGTACCTTAATTAATTATTCCTTATCCCTTATACTAAACAAGCCCTTGCACTTTTCCAACATAGGAAAAAATTATCTTACAGTCCAAAGACATGCGACTTATACTCCATGTTTCGATTCTAAGGTTACAAATGTCATTCGACTTTAGGAATAAATTGAACACACACACACACCCGGGTTATCTTTTACGAGTTTCCTGATTTACAGTTTTAATAATCGTTTGCACTGAAAATCATTGCTTACAACATGAGAATGTCAAAAATCTTAATCAATCTGAGTGGATGTTATCAACATAAATTTTGTTTTTAGAAAATGTTTGGCTCAAAAGTTAACGATATACTTTGTAAGCGATAAAACAATCAAAAATAGTAAAGGGGTAAATCGTAATCAAATATAATAAGCCTAGAGATGCAAAGATGATAATATTGTTGTGGATCTGATATTGCAAAGTGATAATGTTTACCAATAAGATATTTTCGTTAGAGGTAGAGATATAGAGAGAGAAAGCCAGAAAAATGAGAGAGTTGTATTAGATCAGATGCCCCTTTTACAATGTGGAGGTCTCTTTTATATAATAGGAGACCTTCCTCGAAAGAATCAAAAAGTTACAAAGATAGGTAACGTCTCCCTAGTGTGGACGCTGAATTCTAAACGATGTCGCTTTTGTCCTCACGGCCGAGTCGTACCCGCTACGTTGGTCGGCGTACACTCATTGGGCGTGCCCACTGGCGTAGGGATACTGAGGGTCAAATTTGACCCTATACAGTAGCTAACAAGATTTTCCGATAATTCATCGCTAACCCGCAGAGGCAGATTCAGAATTTAAATTTTATGGTTTCAACCTTTAAGATTTTTAACATTGAACGCATTATATTGTTAAAGTTATGGGTTCATATCAACTATTTGTTGCAATTTTAGTGATTTTTTTTACACATAAATTTAGGTTTCACATGGAAAGTATTGGATTCAGATGATCCCATTACCAAAGAGTTTGATATGCCCCTGCTAATTCGTCGTTAAATAGGATTAGTGATGATTTTTTTTAGTTTAGCGTATAGTTGGTTCGTCCCTAATTTTTTTTTTTTCTTTTTTTGGTAGTGAGATTAATTTGATGGAGGCGGAGAGAGGTTGGGAATGGTTGGAATAGTGGGAAATGAGGGGATAATAATGGGAATACTGGCAGGCATAGGAGGCAAAGTCATCTTTGGAGCAGCAGGCAAAGTTGGCAATGGTGAAGCCGTTGGAAGTGTAGGCAAAGGAACTGTACTTGGCAACGGTGGCAACGCGGCGGTCGGCAGCTGTGGCAGTGCTAGCTGAGGCAGTGAGGGAATTGTTGGCAGTGATGGTTAGCCAGGTACTTGTAACAAAAGGCGAGCAGCCATACTTGTGTTGATGCTTGAAATGCACAACAATGTAAGCAATGCGAGAGCAAAGAAAGTCTTGAAAGTTGCATTTTCACTAGGTTTGACTAAGGAAAACTGAAGTTTACTTAGTTGAATGCTGAGTTATGTACAATAAAGATATTAAATGTGTATCTATAGGTGAAGTTTTCAGAGTAGGATTTGAGAATTTGGATGAGATGCGGGTGAGGAATGTTGGAGCACTTCTATTGTTAGCTCACCTTCTTAATAGAAGAAAATGGAAAATTTTATTTTGTGTCTCATACAACTGACACTAGTTGTATGAGGCATCTTTTTTGTCTCACAGTTTAGTGGACCCAGATTTTGTGGACCCAGAAGTGTAAGATTTGGGGTCCACAAATTTGTGAGAGAAAAGGGAGACTCACACAACTAATGTAAGTTGTGTGAGGCACAAAATAGAACTTCTCGAAGAAAATGGACTACAAAATACTCCCTCCGTTCACTTTTACTTGTTTACTATACTAAAAATACATTTTCACTTTTACTTGTCCGCTACACTAAATCAAGCGAAAGACAATCTTTTTTTTTCCTGTTTTACCCTTATAATTAACTACTCATTCCCCAAATCTTTTCCAAAGACTTTTGAAAATGTTATCATTAGTATAGGTAAAATTATAAAATATATACTTTATTTTTTTTAAAGAGAGTGCAAAGTCAAAAATAGATAACTAAAAGTGAACGGAGGGAGTATATGGCTTATAAAACTCCGTTTTCTTCTTTTTGGTGGGGAAGGATTATGTTGAACTAATTGTTCACCAAATATGGTTGAGCGCAAACTTCATCTATGCACTACTTTAAGAAAACTTCATGACTTAAAAAGCTATCTGTACCCTCAAACCAACATATATTTGTGAAGGTGAACTAACAATGGAGTAGTCCCCATGCCTCCACACCCAACATCACACCAAATCCATGTAATCCCTCAAAAACTTCCCCTATACATACATACCCTTTTGTGATGATCAAACTCAACTCAAGTCAAAACACAATTTATTATCTCCTTGTAAAACAAAGCAACCTCGCAAATTATATAACAATGGCTGCTTCCAACAATTGTTCAATGCTCTTCTTGATCATAGCATTATTGTCCTTATCAAGCGTCAGCACAAGTCATGGTGCTCGTAGCCTACTACAACTTCCCAACTTGCCAACAATCCCATCATTGCCTCAGCTAACAATGCCACAGCTGCCTACATTTCCAAACTTGCCAACTGCAGTTACATTGCCACCATTGCCAAGTGCTGGATCTTTGCCAACTCTTCCAACTGCTACACCTAATTTACCATCTTTGCCTACTTTGCCCTCTGTACCAAAGATGACTTTACCACCAATGCCTGCCAATATTCCTCTTCTCAAAATGCCGTCATTTCCTACCATTCCTACACTTGCAACTCCTCCATCCAACTGATCTTGCGGCTTCCAACATTTTCATGTCTTACCCTATGGTCTCTGCCGTTTGATTTTTTTTTTCCCCGTTTTCTCTGTTGTTGTTTTTATTTTTTGAGTGATTCTTAACGATATGCATGGTATCATTTATATATACTCTCCGAGTCTTATACGTTGTCATTGCAAAGTAACCTTTGTATTAATGCCACACAATTGTCTATTATTGATTTATGTGCAGTTCTCGTATCTCCGGTACATGTGAAGATAATTAAACTCCACAAAAAACAAAAACAAAAAAAATACTTTCACAAGGTCATTTTTAGTAGAACAGTGGCCTACCAATAGTGCACTTTTGAAGTCACACTCAGAAAGAGATATAATACAAAATAATTAAACACTGGTAAATCCTGTAACAGAGATACCCCGACAAGCAGTGCACTACCTTAATATCGACCTGAATAAATTTACAATAACAATCCAGTAAAATTCTACAAGTGGAGTGATCTGGAGAGGGCATGTGTATTCACTAGCGTACGCGGGAATTTTTGTAAGCGGTCTCACCATTTTAGACGTGAACAAATAAAAAAATTACTGTAATAATATCATATTTAAAAAAACAATCAAGAAAAAGAAATAACACAACTTACAATGTGTGTTGTCCTTGCTTAGAAATCTTGAGGCATTGACCGGATAAGCTAGACGCCTCTTCGTGACAAGTGGTGTCACTTATTTAATATTAGCGTTTTCCTTGTTTTATCATTTGAATTATATATAAATAATTAGTAAAGATTTGTGACGTAGTGGAGTCACGTGACACCACTTGGGCTAAGCTAACTCCGCCCCTGTGTGTACTTAAACCTCCCCTATCCTGGAGGAGTAGAGAAGGTGTTTCCGATAGACCCTCGGCTCAAGAAGATGAAAAAAGATAATAGATCAACAACAACAACAGCCAGACAGATAATACTAGCATCGTTAGGACCAGAAAATAAATGGAAGAACACTGACAAAAACCAGTAATAATGGCACGGTACTATGAAAACGAAAAAATAGCCTGAATAAATTTAGAAATCATAAATTCTGATGCAATGGACAATGGTTTATGCCAATTAATGAGCGATACATATATATAAATAGGACTCTCTGTATATACATGAAAACCAGCCAATTACCATAGCAACAAATCAATGCAAATTATCTTCATTTCAATCAAATACTTGGGATCTTTTCTTACACTGCATTCATTTACTAACTTTCTTACAGCGTATGTGATTGTTGTTATAAGGATGCTTTCAAGAAGTAAGCCGTTCTTGTTCAACATTTTTGGAATGTACTATGCTAGAAATTCCAAATAAGACCATGACTAGAATAAAAGTAATTAATCAGCTCTAATTAACTCTGCCTCTGCATATTATATTGAAAAGCAGTGTATTTGCATTAGTTTACATTCCTCCAAAATGAAGTTTGAATATATTGATTTTCTAATCCAAAAATCGATCCATGTGAAAAAAGAATATGCATAGCCCTATGAGCTTGCGTACATTGCATGTCCCAAGTCTGAATAAAGGAGGAGGATTATGATGGACTAACTGACAGCCAGGGGTGGATTTAGGGAGCGGACGGGGTTACCTGAACCCCCGAAAAATAAGACAAATATATTTTTTACCTCTATATATTATGTTTTGAATCCCCTTGACATATACCAAAAGCATAGCTTACTGGTCAAGGGGGTTCAAAACATTTACGAGGTCACTAGTTCAATTCCACTAGCTACAATCTTTTTAAATTTTTAACTTTTTTTTTTTGAACCCCCTTAGCGGAAATCCTTCCTCCACCACTGCTGACATCATAAAGCTAGTCAATTCGTAATGACTCCTCCTAATACAGATATAGTTGAGACGTACTCAAATTTGTACTAGTTGTTGTCAATAAATAGGAGTAAATCACCCCCTAATCTTGGTTCCCCTTGTTTAAAGAAAGGAATTAAATTGAGGAGATCAGGAGCAGGATACGAATATCGAGCAGATGTTCAAATGTTATATATCTAAATTCATTAATTTTCATCATAATAATAACTTCTAGGAGATGGCTAGTTCAAGTTATGTTAAATAATAAAATCTGATTTTGGAAAAACAACATCATTATGGGAATGTACAGGCGGTAGAAAAAATATGTCAATGCATTGGAATATAATATGCTATAAGTGAATATTTGAGACAAGAAATGAACCCTAATTTTTACTTCTTAACAATAGGTAAAAAACACAGAGATTTGCTTAATCTAGTAGGAAGAATACTTAAGAGTTTAGTATTACTAGTTTTAACTTCCTAACAAGCATATTAATACTTCCAAGTTCAACATTACACGTGGAAAAGTGTTAGACTTCACAATATTGTTGAGCTGATTGGTCATTTGACCATCATTAGGCAAGCAAACATTTCCATAGTGCCAACCAATACACAACTATTAGTTTAAAATTATAAATAAATGATTTCATCAATTAGTATTGTATAAATTGTCAACCAAATATGGTTGATCCAAATTTCATCTATACCTAACTACTTTTTCAGAAAACTTCTTGACTTGAAAGCTGGTGCATTTTTCTCAAGTCAAAATTCAAGAAGGTTAAGTAACAGTAGAATTTTAGAATTTAAGCATATGCAACATCTCACCAAATCCTCATCGACCCTCAAGAACTTTCCCTATATATACCCTTTAGAGATGATCAAACAAAACACAACTGAATTTGCTAGGAACACAAAGAAATCTAGCAAACTAAGTCAAAACACACATACTCCTATTGACAATGGCTTCCTCCAGCAACTACACAATCCTTTTCTTGATCATTTCATTATTGTCCTTATCAAGCATAAGCACAACCCGTGCTGCTCGCGGCCTACTGCAACTTCCAAACTTGCCTACAATCCCATCATTGCCTCAGCCAACAATGCCAAAATTGCCCACTATTCCCAACTTGCCAACTGCAGCCACATTGCCACCATTGCCAAGTATTGCATCTTTGCCAACTCTTCCAACAACTACACCTAATTTACCATCTTTGCCTACTTTGCCCTCTGTCGTCCCAAAGATGACTCTGCCACCAATGCCTGCCAATATTCCTCTTCCAAGCATTCCCGCAATTCCAACCATTCCTACACTTGCAACTCCTCCATCCAACTGATCATCTTGCGGCTTCTAATATTTTTCATGTTTTATCCTATATGGTGTTTACCATTTGACGTTCTTTTTCCTTTTTCCTTTTTCCGTTTGTCGTTTTGATCCTTTGAGTGATTCTTAACGATATGTATAATGTATTGTATCATTTATACTCTTTGAGTGTTATACAATGATTGTGCACTAGCTAGATTTGTATCAATGTCATGCAGTAGTCTATTATTGATGTGTATTTCTCCAGTATATGTGAAGGTAATTAAACTCCAGCAGAAAAAATATAATTTGACAAGCTTGGTCATTTTTAGTAGAACAGTGGCGTACAAATAATCCACATTTGAAGATTAGGTAATAATACACGATTTAACACGACTTAAAAAGTTACACTCAGAAAGAGATATAATACAAAATACAACACTGATAAATCATATAACAGAGACCCCCGAACTTGCAGTACACTACTTAAACATCAGCTACATCATTTATGATTAAATTTAGAAATAATGAATTGTGATGCAATGGGTAATGGTTTATGCCTAATAGCGAGCGGCATTGTTGGATGTGCGAACAGAGTCTCACATTAGTTGCTGAAAAGAAAAAGAAGTTACATATAAATGTGTCGGGATACTCTTAATAACGTGAGGTCTTTTGAGTAAAACCATGCGAATTTGTAAAGCGGACAATATATTGTAAAGAATATCATGCATTGGGATGGTTTGGCCTAATACCATGCACGTATACAAAATGGATTCTGTGTATCGTTGTATAGAGATGAAATTCAGCCAATTATCGTAGCAACAAATCAATATAATCTGCACTTCAATCAAATACTTTGAATCTTTTCTCATACTGCATCCGTTTATTAACTTCCTTACAGCTTTTTCTAAACATGTCCTTAGACCTTTTTTTTTTATTCTTTTATTTTTTTTAAACCATTCACCCGGGTTATGCTGGCCCGAGGTGATGGGGGGTTTGGCATTATCCCCTACCTCGTATATAGATTGAAAAAATAAGTACAATAGAGGGGGACTAATACCTAACCTCCAGAAGACAAATATTAAAAGAGATTATTGATGGTCTAGGACCTGGTGCGCATAACACCTTACAAAAGGGGCTGCATTGTTAGTAAAGATAATCAAAAGCAGCCCTTCTCAATAGATTATGGAGGTTCAAAGTACAATCCTGAGTGTTTCTTTGCCTTTGAGGTTGGAACTTGCATTCTATCAACTATAACAGCACCTCTTATTTCAGAAGGGAGGTCATTCTCATTAGTGTAAATAATGCTGCGAGTCAGAGAATTAGCATGTTTGGAAAGAAGATCAGTGACTCCATTCCCTTCTCTATAACAGTGCATTACCTGCCTTACTATCTCTTGGATAAGGGTGATGTCTTTGTAAAGTTTCCATGAAATTTTGCATTGGTCAAGGACCATATTTACAACCAGTAGCGAATCATGCCCAAGGTAAAGTTGAAGCAATTTTGAGCACAACACCACTGTATCCCTTGTGAGGCTGCTTGGACCTCTGAATAGTTGTTAGTCAAGAATTGGACTGGTGACGCAAAAGCCATATGTCCATTTCTGTTCCGAACAATGCCCCAAGCTCCAGCCTTGCCTTGATTAGCAATGTAGCTCCCATCATGTTTAGCTTCCAGAAGTTGCCTTCCGGTTTGGACAACATAACCATGGTACTTTTGAGGATAGGTTTGTAGGATTCAATAGTCTGGCATACCTTCCACCAATTTCAATCCCAACCCATCTTGCTGAATTTAAGCCCCATGGATATTTTAGCCTATAATAGAACTTGTTGGCAAATATTATAGGTAGAGGTTGATTTGGCGACATACTTATTGCCA